GGTGGGTGCCATCGCGGAGCTGTTGGAGGTCTTCCACCTGCGCATGATGGTGGCCAACGTGCTCAACAAGGAGAGCTTCATGAACCAGGAGATCACCAAGGCCTTCCACGTGCGCCGCGCCAACCGCGTCCACGAGTGCCTGGCCACGGGCGCCCTCGCCGGTACGGCCTGGGGCTGGGAGCCAGGGGCAGCGTCGTGAGGCTGGGCTGGGCTGCTCTGACCCCTTTCCTCTGCCACGGCTCTGCCCCCAGACGTGGTCTTCTGCGTGGACGACGGGGAGGTGCCGGCGCACAAGCCCCTGCTCATCGCCGGCTGCGACTGGATGCTGGCCATGTTCCGCGGCGCCTTCCGGGAGAGCGACGCCTCCGAGGTGAGCGCCCGGCGCAGGGGGAGAAGGGAAGGGCTGGAAGTCCCCTGGGGAATAGGAGGGGGCAGCCCCCATCCCCGGGCACCCGTAGCTCTGGGGCTCCAGGCAGATGCAGTCCGTGGTGTGCCTGTTGTGCTGTTGGCTCCATCATTCCCTGAAGCCCGTGGGCCTGGCAGACTGCAGGGAGCCTGGGCTGGGTGGGCAGGGGCTGTGGGTTGGGAGTGAGGGATACAGGAGGTAGGGGGCTGCAGGTCGGGCGTGGCGGGCTGTGGCAGGGCTGGGCGGGGTCAGAAGGGGCTAGGAGCTGCTGCCCCGGGAGCGACAGGGTCTGGTCCCTGCAGGTCCCCTGTCGCCCCCAGGTCTCCCTGCCTGGCACCAACTGCGCCTGCCTGCGGGCCGTCCTGGAGTTCCTCTACACGGGTGTCTTCACCCCCACGCCCGACCTGGACGCCATGGACCTGCTGGTCCTCACCAACCGCCTGTGCCTGCCCCGGCTCCAGGCGCTGACAGGTAGGGGCCAGGGCCCCCCCTCCCCGCACGGGTCCCGGCCAGGCCTCCCTTGCTGTACCCGCAGGGGCTGGGGCCTGACGTCAGTGCCTGATAAGATAGTGGCGGAGGCCGCGTGTCCGGACGCTGCGTCCTGTCCCGTGCCCCGGGCAGGGATCGATGTGTCCCTGCAGCCTGCGCCAGTTATGTAAGGGGTGGGGGGGCAGCTTAACCCTTCGTGCTGCCTTCGCCTGGCTGGGAACAGGAATCCCCACAGGTCTGGGCTGCACAGGCCCCCCTTCCGCCCTGGGGCAGGGGCCTGGTGCCAGCCGCCCGCCCCCGCGGGAAGCTCACGACCCTTCTCTGCCCCTCCAGAGCAGTATGCGGTGGATGAATTGCTCCGCGCCTACGTGCAGCAGGTGGAGATTGACGAGCAGGTGCTCATCTACCTGGAGATGACTCAGGTACTGTGGGTGGGGGAGACCCTCCCTGGGCCCCTGCAGGTCCTCAGCACCGTGGGACCCATCACCCTGCCCCAGGGGGCCAGGCAGGGTGGGCCGAGGCCTCGGAGGTCCCTGTGTCCCCAGGCCCTGGCTCAGCGGGTCCCTTCCGCAGTTCCACAATGCGCAGCAGCTGGCGGCCTGGTGCCTGCACTACATCTGCACCAACTACAACAGCGTCTGCCGGCGCTTCCCGCGCGAGATGAAACGCATGTCGCCAGGTACCGGGCACGAGGGGCACAGCCCTGCTCCAAGCTCCATCCCAGGGACCCCCCCTCCCAGCCCCAGGGAGCTGCGTGGGACCCCAGGCTGCCTGCTGGGAGCCAGCCCTCCCCCTGGGCTGCCTTGGGTTGGGTGGGTAGGTGGCTCCCAGCCCTGTCTGTGCCTATTTACTTGGTGCTGGGCTGCGACCTGTGGCTCCAGCCGGGGGTGGGGAGGGGGCTCCCAATCATTCCCATGCCCCTGCTCGCTGCTAGGCCGTGCCCTGCACCTCCAGCCAGGGGTGGGGAAGGCGCTCCCCACCCTGCCCATGCCCTGGCTTGGCTCCGGGCAGGGGCTGCGCTGATGCAGCGCCGGTTGCCCACAGAGAACCAGGCACACTTCGAGAGGCACCGCTGGCCGCCGGTCTGGTACCTGAAGGAGGAGGACTTGTACCTGCGCTCCAAGAAGGAGCGGGAGCACGAGGAGCGACTGCAGCGCAAGCAGCACCCACGCCGCAAGTGGTGCTTCTGGCGCCCCTCGCCCCACGTCTCCTGAGCGCCCAGCCCCCCGCCCCACTCCCCTCCCCTCCCCAGGGCCTGGGGGCCTGAGCCCACCAGCACCCCCTTCCCCTCGCCTTCCCTGCCCGGCCCTGCTCCCCGACCTTGGGGGCAGGGGCTGTGCGTTTACACCCGCCACGTTTACAGGCGCTTCCTGCCACCGCCGCGTCCCCGGCCATGCGGGGCCTTCTCCCCCCCCCGCGGGGGGCTGGGGCAGGGTGCTGAGCTAGGAAGAGACCCCCAGCTCGGCCCAGCTTATGGTGCTACCTCTGACCTAGCTGTATTGGGGGCTGGGCTGCGAGGGGGTCCCCTGGGCCCTGCTTCCTCGCTGGCTTCGCACTGGGAGCTCTGGGCTGGTGCCGCCTCCTATGAGAAGCAGGGGCCTAGGGGGCGCGGCAGCCCGGGGCCGCTGCGCCCCTCTCCGTGCCTTCCACACCACCAGCCTCTTTCCCCGCCGGGCGCAGTGTCTCCCCGGGGATCCCTCCAGTTCTGCCTGTGCCTGGGGGGCAGCCAGCAGGCCCCCCCAGCCCCTGGTGCAGACGCCAGGAGCGGGGCCTGTACCCGCTCCTGCTAAGGGCTTTTCTTTCCCCCTCGGTCCTGACCACTGTGAGCGGGCGGCCCCGCGCCCTTGGCCCCCGCCCGGTTTCTTACACCCATCAGTATTTGACTGTTTTAACCTTTATTAAAGACCTTTTGTAATGTGCCTGGAGGCCCCCGTGTGCTTGTGGGGGCAATGCCGGGCGGGGGGAGCGTAGGAGCTGGGTGTGCCAGTGGGGCAGACCCTGGAGTGTGCAGATGGGGGGGGGGACCCCATGAAGGGACTGGTGGTGTAAGGTGCCTGCCCTTGACCCCATGCAAAGTGTTGGGGTGCAGCAGGTGGGGAAGGAGTCAGAGGTCAGCTCCAGGCCATCCTGGACCCTTCTGTGCAGACCAGCACTGGACAAAGGGTTGGGGGGGGGGGCAGCAAGTGGAGAGAGGAGGGCAAGATGGACCATCCTCCACCTTGGAGCAGACTCCCAGGCGGCCCCAGCAAGGGGATCCCCCCGCCCAGCCCAGCCCAGCCCAGACAAGCTCAGCAGGAGACCTTGGGGTTCAAGCTGATTTATTGGCAGTGTCTCAAGGGCCCTGGCAGAGCAACTACAGCGCCTCCCCCCCTGGGGAGCCATGCTCTGGCCCCAGGCTGGGCCGCATGGCAGAGAGGGGCTTGGTGCAATGCGGGAGACTTTGGGGACCTCCAGGCAGGAGATGCAGAAAGGCCATGGCCTCCCACTCCCTCAAGACACCCATCCCCACTCTGTTACTCTGCCACTACGGCAGTGCGGCCACCTCTGGGGTGGGCTCTCCAGCTGCCCAGGAAGGCTTCAGGCCTCTGCCAGAGGCTTCTGCAGGGAGCAGTGGCAGGTGATCCTTGCTACAGAGAAAGCTAACGGCGTCCTGGGCTGCATGGGTAGGAGCGTTGCCAGCAGACGGAGGGAAGTGATGCTTTCCCTCTATTCAGCACTGGGGAGGACACATGTGGAGTCCTGTGTCCAGCTGTGGCCCCCCGCTACAGAAAGGATGTGGGCACATTGGAGAGTCCAGCGGAGGGCAATGAAAACGATTGTGGGGATGGGGGACAGGACTGGTGAGGAGCAGCTTAGAGAACTGGGCTGATATGGTCTGGAAAAGAAGACTGAGGGGGGTTGAATAGCAGCCTCCAACTCCCTGCAGGGGGGCTGCAAAGAGGATGGAGCTGGGCTGGTCTCAGTGGGGGCAGATGACAGAAGGAGCAATGGGCTCAAGCTGCAGCAAGCCAAGTTGAGATTGGATATTAGGAAAAACTCTCACTAGGAAGCACTGGAACAAGCTCCCCAGAGAGGTGGTGGAGTCTCTATCATTGAAGGTATTTAAGACCCGGCTTGACAAAGCCTTGGCTGGGATGATGCAGTTGGGGCTGGTCCTGCTTCGAGCAGGGGGTTGGACTAGATGTGACCTCCTGAGATCCCTTCAACCCTCATTGTCTAGGATTCTGACCCAGGCAGGGCTCATGCCAGTGTAAGGAGATGCAGTGGTGCTGCAGCAGGTCCCTGAGCCAGGGAGAAGCCCAGCGGCAGGGTCCCCAGGGAGGCTGTGCAGCCAGTCTAAGCATCCTGGGCCAGTGGAAGGGCCTGGACCCTCATGCTTAGCCTCAGCCCCAATCGGCTGCCTGGAGGGAGAAGCCTGAGTGCAGACTGGGCTGGGGCAGGGGCAGGGGCAGGGGGAGCAGGTGCAGAGCCCCCGTTCCCACCACCCTGCCTGGCTGGGGCAGCGATGCTCACCACAGCCAGCCTGGAGAGCTGCGGAGATGTTGCCCAGGCAGGACTGGCCCAGAGGCAGCCCCATCCATGCTGCTGGGCCCAGCTGCCCAGAGCAGGCCACAGGTGAGGCTGGCGCAGGGAGCAGGGCTGAGCTGCAGCCGGCTGCCAGGCTCCCCCCCAACCACCCCCCCGGGATGCTGCCATGACCTAGAAAAGAGAACAGCAGCGGTTCCTCCCTGGCTTCGCCCAGCTTGGCCGCAGGCTTCCCAGCTTCAGTGGAAAGCTTGTGGGCCCTGGGGTCTGGAGGCATCCAGGCAGGGGCTGCCCTCACCAACCCCTGCCCCTGACACAGGGTCCTGGAAGGGACGGCTGTGCGTGAGAGGCCGGGGGGGCTGTCGGAGCCCTGCTGGGCCCTGGAGCATTGCAGTGGGGCCACAGCCCCCCCAGGCTCTGATCTCTGGGCAAGGTCAGAGCCCCACGGGCGGGGGCTGGAAGCTGCAGCAGCTGTGCCACTCCAGTCACCTGCCCTGGGCAAGAAGGGTGCTGGCTGGGGGGCCGAAACAGGACGAGGCCGAGTCTCATTCAGCCTTGAGCCGCAGGCTGCTGAGCAGAGGGGAGCTCCCTCTCGGGAGGGCCCAGCTCCCGCGCCAGCAAGTGCCTTCCCCCTGGGGAGGGCACAGCTGCAGCCCCCGCCCCACACGGCTGGCCTGGCCTCCTGCTGCAGGAGCCCAGCGGGGGGCTCCTTCCCCATGAGGGACACACTGCTGCAGCAGAGCTGGGCACTGGGATCGGACATGGCCGTGGCCCCCCGGTCAGACCAAGGCCCCCCGGGCAGCTAGACCTGGCCGTAACGGATGATCTCGCTGAGGTCGTAGCCGGTGACGGCGAAAGAGCTGCCCTCGGGGTCGCAGAAGCGGGCGCCGCAGATCTGGGTGTCGGTCACGCACTCCGAGTGGCAGTGCTCGATCTGCGGGGGGGAAGGAAGATGCTGACTGCCCAGCCAGGGCCCGGCCCAGCCCCGCCGGACCCCTCCCACAGGGCCCCCAAGTCCCCTGCGGCAGCATGGCCCCAAGCCCAAGGGCTGGCAAAGGTGGACTGCAGGGGGTCAGGGTGCAGGGTGGTGCTGTGGGGGAGCCTGCCTCCTACCCCCTCATAGCGCCCAGCCCCCGGCCTCAGCTCCTGCACCAGGCTGGGGCACTGCCCAGTGGGAACAAGGGGGGACCCCAGAGCCAGGCAGCGGCGTCCAGGCTGGGGCCCTGCTGGGACTGACCCAGAGAGAAGGCAGGATGAGAGAAGCGTGGGCTGGGCCAGGCAGCCCCAAGATGCAGGCATGTCCCCGAGCCTCCAGCGCGGCCTCATGGTGCCATGTGGAGACTTCACGGGGAAACTGAGGCACTGAGGTGGTGCAGAGCCCGAGTAGGACATGTGCGCTCCACACCGGCGCCAGGCTCAGACTGTGGGGCTCAGCCGCCTCCCCCCCTCACTCACCTCCACGTCGCCCGTGTCCGGGTCCAGGCCAAGCTGCCAGACGTGGACAAAGGAGTCCTCGGCCCCAGAGAGCAGCTGCGGGCAAAGCAGAGAGGGGGCTGGGGGAGATGGGCCCTGCCAGCGCCGAGCCCGGCATGGCCCGGCAGAGGGCACCGAGTTGCGGTGCTCGAGCTAGTGCACAGAGACCTGGGGGCTGGGGGCACAAGCCCTAGCTGAGGCAAGGGCGGGAGTGCCCTCAGCGGCCATGCCAGGGGCCACAGCCCAGGGGGGACTCACCTTCCCCGACAGCGGCGCTAGGTCCAGGGCGTAGATCCAGCGGGCGTGGGCGTGCACCTGGGCTCGCAGCACCCCCGTGGCCGCCTCGTAGAGCCGGATCTGCCCGTTGCCGTAGCCGGCGGCGATCACCCCCTTCCACAGCTTCACGGAGGAGCAGGTGCAGCTGGGCAAGGGGGGGCGTTAGCCCTGTCTGCCCACCCCCAGGGCTGCCCCTGCACCATGTCACTGCCCCGTGCCCCCCACCCCAGCCTCACCCGCTGGCCGAGATCCTGGTGAGCAGAGCGAACGCCTCCCCGGCCCTCCAGACGCACAGCGTCCCCACGTCGTCCGCGGTCACCACGTCGGCAGCGCCAGCCTGCAGGGGCACCGCAGCCGTGAGCCCGGCCGTGGTGCCCACCGTGGGGCGGGGGCAGGACAGCAGCCGTTGGCAGGGGCCTGGCTGCGTCCTCTCCCCCGTACTGCTACCTGCCACGGGGGATTCTCCTGTGGCACGGCCTCCTCCCCCAGCCCAGCAGGGTCCCCGTCTGCTCCGGGCTCAGGGCCGCACGCTCGTGTCAGTGCCGCCCCCGTCACCGACCCCAGGCCTCCCCAGACCAGTCCTTGCTCCCGCCTGGGAAGGGGGAGGCCATCCCCAGCAGCCCCTCCCGGCCCGGGCAGCGCGGGGGCCACGTACCGGGCTGTCGCTGAGCTCGGCGGCGATGTCGGTGACGGCCTCACGGTGCTCCTCCAGGACCTCGCTCAGCGTGATGTTGGGGCCCTTGCCGGGGACGTCGAACACCAGCACCAGGCCCGACGACGTCCCTGCGACAGCCCACGCCCCGCCCGTGCATGGGGGCGGGCTGCCCACCTCCCGCCCC